TTGAGAGATTCGCTGGCTGACGAAATCGAGCCAGGAAGCGGAAGCTGCGGATGGCCTTACTGAAAACTCTAGGGCCAGGCGGCCCGGGAGAAGGACTGCGGTCCTCCCCACTGTCATAGCGACTTCCTCGGTGCAATTGGTAGCCCCGGGCGGCCCCATCGTGGTCGTGGCGCCGTCGTCTGCTGCCCACGCGGTGGCCGTTTTGCGCCTCGCGTTGGTCGTCGAGGCGGTCGTGCACCGAGGGGGCCCTGAGGCAGTCGTGCACCGAGGGGGCCCTGAGGCGGTCGTGCACCGAGGGAGCCCTGAGGCAGTCATGCACCGAGGCTTTCAAAGCGCGTCCAGCGTCGTCGAGACGCGGAGCTTTTTCGACCGCCGCACCGCGACAGCCTCGAGAAGAAGGCCCCGGAGTTCGCCGTGGACCCGTCGCCGCCTCCATGGTAGAGGGGCTCGGGCATCGCTTCGGACGAGATCGCCGCCACGGCGACGTTACGCTCGCTAGCGCGATTGAAGTGGGGTTGCTCGCCCCCCTCATCATCGTTAATCTGGCGGTTAACGTCGCGAGCCCCCACCGGGCCGTTCGCCATCGCGCGCTTTGCGCTTCTTGCTCGAGGGTGGCTCTTGGCGCCGCAGGAGGAGTCGATCTTGCTCGACCTTGGTTTGAAGCTCACGGAGCTGCTCTAGGTCTATCGCGTTGAAGTTGCTCGGGGTGTGGATACACCGCCGCTTGTTGGCGGGGACCCGTGCGTGGTGGTGTGGTGTTGGCTGCCTTCCACCATCGTTGCCCGTGCTCGGCATTCCGAGTCCGATGTGGAAACACTCACGAGTCGGGTCGTAAAAAGCGTCCTCGCCGTCGGAATCGGAGTAGCCAAGCGAGAGTCGCTTCGCGATCATGAAAGCGGCGACGCCTTAGGGTCACGGCTTCGGAGAAGACCTGGTTCGGGCAATGGATGCCCTACGCCCGGTCGAGAAGATGTTCTTGTATTCCTTGCACCGGGGTGCTCGTAGTAGGGGGTTACAAGCTAGGCGAGAGAGGAGTTCGTCCCAAGTCTCTGTGAGGGAGGTGATATGAATTACGAGAATCGCGGCGTGTTGTTCGTGCGCAGTGTTCGTGACTCTATCCGCCGCCCCTAGAAATGGTCCTGGCCGCCTCCTTTTATAGCCGCAGGGAGAAACCAGGAGTACATAAGAGAGCTACACGTGGAGTGGACTATTCGATGACGTATTTACTCATGGAGCAGCATGGCGTTGTCGTGGGAGTTCCCGTAGATGTCTAATCGGTATGGTCTCCATTTGCAAGTAACATGTCTTTGCGCATTTGTTGACAGTGGATTGCGAGAGGCTCGCCGCGGCCATCGTGGCCGTCGTGTTAGAGGCCTGCCGTCTTCGAGGCCCGAGAAGTGACCAGTGCGCGATGCGGGTCTCGGCCGCCATCGGCGGAATAGTGCGAGACGCGGCGCCCTACGAGGATCTGGTACTGTATTGTTAGTAAGGGATGGTAAAAAGGTGATCGACCGTTGTCCGTCGCTCCTGTTGCGGCCGCCGACCGCCGATCGTGGCTTACGAAGCGAGTGCGGTGAGCGCATTAATTGGATGCGACGACCGCCGAGAGACCTTTGAGGCAGAGGCGACGAGGTTGCGGGACGAGCCGGCCTCGGCGGCGGAGCGAGCGCCAATTCATCCGAGGCCCTCACCGGGGTCTCGGGCAGGCGAGTAAGATCAGTGAATCCGAGGCCCTGTCGAGGGGGCTCGGGCGAGCCGGAGCGGTCGGTCCGCTGATTCCGAGGCTATAGGAACCCGTTCTGACTCCCCATGTTGCGATGTCCTTGGCGCAGGAGTTAGGCAAAGACGATGGTTGGTAACCCCGCTCTGTGCCGTCGCGAGATGGCGAGGAGGTTTGTTGGCGGGCGTAGTCGGTCTGGCCATTTGTACTATGCCATGCCATCGTGTGTCGCCGGAGTGGTTGGCGCTTGGATGCGGCGTTGGTCGAGCGGTTTGGTCGAAGAGGCGGTCACGGGCTGGTGCCGAGCCGCCTCATGCGAATCGGAGAATCGACACTTCGCCCGAGGGCCCGGGAGGGGCCTCGGCGGCGGTCTCGGCGTAGTCGGAGAATCGTTCGCGGTGGGGCTTTCGGCGACGGGTCTCGGGCGAATCGGAGATTTCGGCCGAGACCTCGTTTGTTTATTCCATTGGTTCTGTTCTTAGGGTCTAAGCATTTTTTCGATCTTTGCTTGGGGTACCCCATTTTCTGGTATCCGACACTAGCAAAACCGTAGTTGCATATTTAGATAGTTTATCTTTTACACAGGTTTTGCTAAGGTTAGAAAAAGAGGCCATAAATTAGAGTTAGATTTTTAAGTTGCCTAATTCACCCCCGCCTCTTAGGCGTCACGGTCCCTTCACGTGGTCGACTCGAGCAGCGGCGGACGGTGCTTGACCTGGGTGTCTGGGACCGCAGACCGGCACGGTGCGACCTCCAATCAGCGAGGAGCGTCGGCAACGGCGTCGCGGGGGATCGAGCGAACGAACGAGATGTGGCGTGGGCGAGCGAGGGGATCAGGGGAGAGGGCGCGATCGGTGATTTGAAGGGAGCGTCGATGGTGTGGGGACGTGATTGGAGGAGGCGATCTGTTGGTTTCCTATTTGTTTCCTATTTCTCGGTCGCGCACAGGCAGCACCGCAGCGTGATTGCCGGAGATTGCGATCAGCGATTACACAAGTGCGGAGGTGCCGGGTGGATCCATCGCGCTGATTTGGGATCACGGAGGATGCCGGGTAGACACCGAGCGGGGCAACATATCATGCGTAAACCAACCAACTTGTGCAAACTTAGAAACTACCAATCAGGACCACTGGATGATGATCCAATAGATGGGGTGAGGGGCCTTAAGCGCAAAAAAGGACAGCGGGTGGGGGGCTTAAGCGCAAAAAAATCCCACATCTCACCCCATTCATTGGATCAACATTGAGTGGTCCTGATTGGTAGTTTCCAAATTTGCACAAGTTAGTTGATTGGCACCTGATACGTTGTCGTGAGTCTCTAGTGCGCGCTGAGGAGGCCTGGGAGCGAGCGACGCGGAATACTTTATATGTTTTAGTTGTAGATAGATAGATAGAGATTTTAAATCAATAATATTTTAAAGGGAAAAGCCCACGCCTGGACGGGGGCTAGCGTCCGGACGCCCGCGCCACACGCCTGCTTCGCGTGGGGTCCCCGCGCCGCTCCGTGTCCCACGCTCGCTCCGCGTCTCGATCTGCGCCTGCACGGTTCCCACGCCTGCCGCTCGATCCCCTCTACACTCACGCCCATACAGGCGGGCCAAGCGGATGGGGTCCACTGCAACATGTGCGACACCAAATCCACTTTTGCAACATCTAGAGGAAACATTTACAACATACGTCCGAAATAGTTGAAACACTTGCAATATACGTCTGAAACACGAGGGAAACACGTGTGTAGCAATTGCAAAACATATGCAACATCTAGATGAAACACTTGCAACATATGTGTGAAAAAATCTGGATGAAACACTTGCAACACAAGTGTGAAACATATGCAACACCCAAATAAAACACATGCAACATCCGTCTGAAATAGTTGAAACATTTTGAACAAGACGCTTGCAACATACGTATATAGCCATTGCAACATATGCAACATCCCGATCTACTTTTGCAACATCCATATGAAACACTTGCAACATGCATATGAAACACCTGAAACCCTTGAAACATATGCTTGCACCACGCACTTGCAACATCCGAGGAAGGAAGGGAGCGCGAGGTACAGCCGCTTCGGATCTGGCCACTCTGGATCTCGTGGTGTCGCGAGCTGTAGTCGAGCGTCGCGGCGGCGCCGGCGTCGACAGCGGCCACCACCTCCTGGTGGGGAATGGCGGCGTCGGCAGCATCTCGGCGCGGCGAGGGACGGGGCACAACACGCAGGGGCAGGGCAAGGCGCCACGAGGCGGAGTGGGTGCGGCGGGGGATGGAGCACGGCGCGGCGGCAGACGTGGCGTGACTCAATGCGGTATGGCGGCAGCGCCGCGTGGCGGATTGGGGCGGGCGGATGACGCGGTGAGCCGCGACGAGCGAAGCGAGGAGTTGGGGATTTCTAACGGCTGTCGCAGTGTAGATGGAGTAGACAGAGGAGAGCGTAGATGGGCTTGTTGCGTCGGTCGCTGTGCTGGAGCGAGCGCGAAGCAGAGCGTTCAATTTTTTTAAGATTCTGGAGGTATGTCTGTAGCATTACCGTATTTTTAAATTAATGTATTATAACTTTTTCAGATCTAACTCTTTAAATCAAGCTGGATAGATTATTTTAAAACATTAATTTTAGAAAGGTAAAAATAAAAAAGCTTGTAAATCGCACATGCACGACCAAAAGAGTAAAAAAAAGGAACTAGACTGGGAGGAGAAATATTAATTTAGAAGTGTTTAAAAGGTTTTAAAAAATGCAGCTTGCAGCTCGCCTGGAGCTGGGAGGAGAAATAACAAAGCAACTGGACCTGTCTGCACGTTCTACTCCAGCCTGCCGTGCCATTGGCAACTGCAGACAGGGAACGTAGTTGCATGTGTGATCGGAATAATGCACGGTACCATTCAGATCACCAGACGTTTGCAGACAGGGAGTATCACAGGGCACCGGTTTCATGTCAGTAAATGAAAGACGGATGGCTTTGATTTTCAACTATATAAAACAGAACCCCACATGGCTCATGGCTCTGCAGGTAATGGTTCAAGTGCAGGGCTATTACAGGGCTATCTGTTTACACGAGGGAAAACAAACAATGCTGCCATAGGGACTACCAATCTCCGACAGAAGAGAGACTACACATAGCCCTCCAGCAGCAAACTCCCATTCACCTCCCTGTGCTCCAAGTTTTTCAACGGGAACGATTGGCTGCCACCAAATGCCAGGTTGCTCAGCCCTTCGCTCGCGAGCCAAAAAGGCAGGACCTCCACGACGACCTTCTGCACCAGCTTGTCCTCCTGGAAGTCGTTCAGAAGCGACGCGAAGCTTTCTCCGGCTCTCTGAAATCCACCAGCACGCTGCAGAGCCCTCGCTGTGCAAGAAGTTGGAGAATAGACTCCAAGTCTATCTGACGAAGGACTGCAACTTCAACTCCTGCTGGCTCCACGGTGACAGGACTATCAGCAAGGACTATCACCTTCGATGCATGCTCTTCGCTGAGAGATGGGATGTGTAGTCGGGAATTTTCACCCTGTGCTACGATGATATAGAGAGGTTGATTTGCACCGGCTTCGCGCGACAAAGGTAAGCTCGACATCTTGGCCAGGTCACTTGAAATTATGATTCCATCATATTCTTTCATCAACTGCGAGTAGTACCCACCAGACTGGTCAGCTCCCTTCCCAATATGGTTTGTGACAATTCCATTCATTGAGAGTGTAGCTCTGTTATTCATATAATAACAAATAAATACCATCACGAACATTGCACATGGTACTCAAATGGTCCATAGAGAACATTTTTATACGCAGACAACAACAATGAACATTACTACTCAAATAGATGAAGCAATGGGCTATCAACAGTCCTCCAGACCACAATTAGTTATAGGATCTATCGTCCAACTCACATTTCAAACTCTAGAAATGAACTGTACACTGTCTATTTAATATTTCCGTCAGAGCAAATGTGAACACTGATTTAGTAAAGTTGGAAGATTAGGAAGATACTTGGAGTTGGATATTTACCTCAAAGTTGCAAAAGCCTTCCCGGTGAGCATACGATGGATGTAAGCCTCGTTTAGTTTGCGGCATAACACTTCCTCCACACCCACCCTCACATTTATTCCAGCACCTTGGAGTTTTTCAATCCCTTTGGATGCAACAATAGGATTTGGGTCAGTCATCCCCATAACAACTTCCTTTACTTTTGCATTGATGAGTGCTTCAGTACAAGGAGGGGTTCTCCCATAGTGGTTGCAGGGCTCCAAGCTAACATAAGCCGTTGCATTTTCAGCTAAATTACCTGCATCTCTCAGTGCAAATACCTACACATGATTTTAACACAATACAAGGTTATGATGTCACGTAATGATACTTTGTCATTGTATAAGCTCTTAAGCCAACATAATATTAAATACTTATAGTGTAGCAATGCAGGATTAAATATTGAGATGTGATGTAAACTGTTTACAGGAGAGAATCTTCAAGGAGAGTCGACTAGCAAGATTCAGCATCCACTGTCCCTCCCAAACCAAATTATTACACATTCTTCTAGAACCTTTCTCACAAAAAAAAAGATGTTGTCACTATCCTCCTCGTACAGAGCTTGACATTTTTGTTCTTTAGAGGTTAATGTAGTGTTGATGGTTGTTTTTATACACCATGATGTTCACAGCTTTAACATAAAGTTTAGTGTTTTACAGCATCATAAAGAAAGGAGATGAGTGCTGGGATACAAGGTACAAGCGACACACACAAAGTTTGACAAAGATATAAGCAGGACAAGACTAGTCGCTTCCCCTAGAACATTGATAGCTAACCAATGGATGATGGGTTGTTTTACAAGCTTTACTTGTTGTTGCGGTAGACGAAAGTTTCCATTAATCTTCATATACTAGTATAAGCACAAACTTTGTTCTGTGCAAACCAAAAAATAGCGTTTACTTTCCATAATTGCATAGAGTTGAGGTTTAATGAATAATGTGTTTGGTGTCGAATGTCTCGCTAGCTAAAGGACAATTGACATACTCTTGAATGATGATGCCTAACAACATGGCCAGATTCCGTTGCACTTTATGACGATCACCAAACAACCTTTTCCCTTCCCTTTGTGAGAATAAGGCCCTGTTTGGTTTCAAGCTTCTAAAATTTTTAGGAGCTAAAAGTTGTAGAAGTTTTTATAAGGCTTCTAAAACCTTCTAAAAGAGTGTTTAGTTTCAGCAGTAAATGCACTAGTAAATAGACCATACAACCCTCCTCTATAGAGAGAGAGGAGGGGGGGGGCAAGGCAATAAAGGAGAGGTAGTGGGGGTTCAGGATGGACTTTAGGAGTTTTTAGGAGAGGGTGAAGCCCCTAAAGTTTTAGGCCCCTCGTAAAGTTTTTAAAAGCTTTTAGGAGAATGTGTTTGATTCTTTAGGCAAATTCTATTAGATTTTAGTTCCTAAAACTTTTAAAACTTTTGGGAGGGGTAACGCCTAAGCATCCAAAGAAAATATTGAAAAGCGAGAATGGAAGACATGCTACCTCAGCATGAGGTTGGCCGGCTTTGGGGTGGAATCCTTCTCCGACGATGCGGCCGTCGCGGACGATGACGCAGCCCACCATAGGGTTGGGGCTGGTGTAGCCGGCCGCCTTGCGCGCCAGCTCCACGCACCGCCGCATGTAGTGGGCGTCCAAGTCCCCCGCCGCCTGCGCCTGGCAGCGCACGGCGCGCCCGCCAAGGGCCCCGGCCCCGGCCGCGAGGCGGGCGTGGGTAGGGGAGGCGAGCGTGGCGGCGCGGACCGGGCGCTGGGTGAGGTGCGGGCGCGAGACGAGCGAGGAGGCCATGGGCGTGGGTGGCGAGTGGTGGCGAGGGCGGCCGCGTGTGCGCGCGGAGGGTTTGGTTGGGTTTGGGACCTTTCAACCAGCAGCGAGCCCGTGCGCGCGTGACGCGCCTAGCTCCGTCACCCACCCCCACGGCGCCACGCGGCCCCTCCGCCGCCGCTGCCGTCACCTCCCCATGCGAGCCGCGCCTAGCTCCCGTCACCTCCTCGTAGGCTGCTGCCGGCTTCCGCGGCTCCTCCCCTCCGTCCCCAACCGCCGCGCCGGCCTGGGCACGCCTCTCTCTCTCTCTCTCTCTCTCTCCCTCCCGGCCCCGGCCTTCGGCCTTCTTGTTCGACACCGTAATTGGTCTGGCTCGCCGCGTGCGCCGCCGGCCGGCCACCGTATCCTATCCCGCCGGTCCACCGTTCGCTCACCCAATGCGGCTGCCGCGTGGGCCGCTGTCGTCACGACCCTGGCCCGTATTGGCCCATTTACATTACATCACTTGTTCGATTCCGGCCCAGACAGACAGTACACGTCACTAAAGCGAGCCCGGACCCAGCAAGTGGCGCAGTGAGCGTGAGTGTCGGAAAAAATTGGAAAAATAACGATCGAAAGATTGACTCTCGAATACGATGACACTTGGTGGATGACAAGTGGAACTATCTGTGTCTATGAATATGGGTCCAGTGTCAAATCTGCAAACGACCAAGATTTCGAGTCTCATTTTTACAAATTGTCGCCTAGTGGACGTACCTGTCATTTCATCTCAATCCATTTTTTTCATCGGAACAGTGTTTTTCTCTCATAAATTCATTCAGCATTCCTCCAAACCATCCAGATTTCTCCAGAATTCAGACAAGCGATGAGGCCCAAAATCGAGTGGCGCAATGAAGTAGCCGAGGAAGCTACTCCAGGACTTTTTGCTTGGAACGGCTCGGCTGACACCAGGTACCTCCTCTATCCAATATCCACCTGCCCCTTCACTTGCTTGGTCTCCCAGTTCATCTCTCTTTCATTATTTCCCCGGTTTCATCTCTCCTGCAAGAGGTAATTGCACTTTCCTGCATACGTTTTGGTTCGGTTTCAGTCATGTTGCAGAGTTTCGTTTTCGTTAGTCCAATCCAATGGAGGATAGTTAGCCTGAATGGAGCTAATAGACTGATAGTTGTCCGACACTAGAGGTTCCTGCAGCTCAGAGCTCATCTGCAAGCAGCAGGTCACACCCCCACACTAGATCAGATTAAGTAGCTTCTTGGGTCCAATGGCTGGACACATGTCCACTTTATCCTAAATACCACACAGTGCTACTCTCTTCCCATTCAATGTCACCCTCATGTGCTTTGTCTTGTAATCAACCCAGATTGGACTGACTGCATTCAACCAGTCCTCACCAAGGATCATATCATAACACTGCAGGTTTAATACTCTAGCATCTGATTTGAACTTGTGTCCCTGAACACACCATTGCAAGGCTGGCACTCTTTCAGAACACTGCATTTGGCCCACATCAGCTGCTTTGAAGGTGGCTGGTTGACAGAGTTCAGTGGGTAAGCCCAATGCGCTGACCAACTTGTTACTGACAAAAATTCCCACACTTCTCGAATCAACTAATACCAGGACTTGATGTTTCCCAATTCGAGCAAGCAATTTCAGAGTATTTCTCTTAACAGCCCTCTCAGAGTTCGGCCACTATAATGCACATACAGATTTTTCAGCTGCTAAGTCTTCAGACTAGACATCTATCGATTTGTCAGATGCAGCCAAATCCAAAGCATCCCACAACTCTTCCAACACATGTAATGGAACATGCTCAGGACAAGAATGAGTAGGACCCCATTTACCTCCACATTTGAAACAGAGACCGTTCTTGAGGCGATATTGCTTGAGCGAAGCCAGCTTATCATCAACATCCATTTTATGAACTTTGACTGCTGACCTTTCCATACCACCCATCCCCACCTTGTCAAGCACCTTATCAGCCCCTTTTGGGAAAGGTCGCCAAAAGGGTTTGTTCCTTGCAGCACTAAGCTCCTCCTCTTGCAATAGTGCCAAGGCACTCGCCATATCCACATCACGTGGTCTGTGCAATGCAATCGGCGCTCTGATCTCGTCCTTGAGGCCTGAGAGAAATCTTGTGATAAAATACACATGATCATAAGATGGGTTGTATAACAGAATACCATGTGCTAGCTTCTCAAACTGAGCCTAATACTCTGCAACCGATCCGGTTTGCCTCAGAGTTTCCAATGCCTGTAATTGACGCTGATACTGATCCTTGTCGTATTTGGCGAAGACTAGTTCACAGAGATGATCCCAATCCGTGATCTGACCATGTCGTTCAGTAGTCTGCAACCATGTCGCGGCCGAACCCATGAAATTGAGAGCTGCAAATCTCGTCCTCATCGCCAGGTGAACTCCATAGACCTCGAAAAAGAGAACACAATGATCACGCCACAATCGTGGCTTGTCTCCATCGAATTTGGGCACCGGAGGGGATCGAATCGACTGCAGATGCTCGAATTCAGGCGATGGAAAGGAGTGAGGGATGAGATCGTTAGGCATACCCGTGTCCGGGTGCGGCAGCAAGGTGCTCGGGGCCCCGCCGCCAACAACCCGGTGCTCGTGTCGCTGGCCGTGCCCATTGGGCGATTGTGATGTCGAAGCTGATGTCGGGGCCACGTTCAGATCGAACCACCCTGCTGCGTGATGCATCGACGGAGCCGTGAGCGGGTTGGGCACCTGAGACATTGGCAACTGCTGGAGTGGAGGTGGACGCGGCATCTGGATCGGCGGAGGTTGAGGAAGCTGCGCCAACACGGTCGGTGGTTGAGGCGAAGGCGGAGGCGGGAGGGGGGACGCGCCTCCAACTGCTGCACCTGGGTTGAGGTATCCTTGGACTGCTGAATCATCGACCCCATGTTCGTCTCCGTAATCGTCCACCATGCCTCCAAGTCGTTGAGCTTGTCGAGCGTAGTCGCCATGAGCTGCTGGAATCCCACGAACTGCTTGGCCATATCCTGGACCCCGACGAGCTGTTGCGCCATGGAATCCATGGCTGACTTGAGGTCCTCAATTGAAGCCGTGATCTCAATCTGGATTTTGGTGGGTTTCCGCTTCGACGCCAGAACGGAATGGATCGATTGAGGATTTTTTCCCCTCAAATCCACAGGCTCTCAATACCAATTGTAATGACCTAGATGAGTGGAAGGAAGATTGGGACCAACCGATGAGCCTTATTGTGAACTGGAAAACTGTATTTGCTTACAAGAGCGGATGACCGCTGAAGAATGATTACTACTTCTATGAATGTAGCAGCTAAAGGCTTATAGTTTTCTCTCCCCTTTTCCTCCTAACACCCGGCTGCTTATATAACCAGCAGCCATAGCTGTGAAGTATGCTTCCCAGCTCCATACCAACCGTTGTTGACGGCCACGCCACCGTCACATGAAGTACCTACATCGTGGGTCCACCTGTCGGTCATTACATTCCCTCCTTAAGACTCAGACTGTCCTCAGTCTATGGATTCCTAAACCTGCTCCGGAGCAACGTCAGCTTCATCCTCCCAAGTTACCATATGTTCAGGCATCAAACTCCACTTCACCAACACCTGCTTCACTCGTTTGGCTCCACGCAAGATCTCTCTGGTGGCCACAATCTTCTCCGGCTGCTGTACAAGCATTGGATCGGTACTAACTGAAGTCAATTCCTCTAAGACTGTCTGGTCCTTGGGAACGTGCTTCTTCAGTTGAGATACGTGCAGTACAGGATGCACTCTACTGCCTTCAGGGAGGTCCAACTTGTAAGCCACCTTGCTAATTCTTTGTAACACCTTGTAAGGTCCATAGAATCGAAATGAAAGTTTCTTATTGGTCCGAGCCGCCACTGATGACTGCACATAAGGCTGCAATTTCATATACACCAAATCTCCCGGTTGGAACTCCCTTTCACTTCTGTGTTTATCTACCTGAGATTTCATTCTTTGTTGTGCTCTTTGAAGTTGCATCTGAATGATCCTTTTAAGCAATTCCCTTTCTTTCATCCACTGTTCCAAGTTCGGCACAGCACATAGATTCAGATTAGTGATGCCTAACTGTCTTGGACTTTGGCCATACAAGACTTGAAATGGTGAGTGGCCCAATGCTGAATGGTAGTTCGTATTGTACCAAAACTCAACAACCGATAGCCATCTGCTCCACTGCTTTGGGCAAGAGTGAACTGTGCACCAAAGAAAGCCTTCCAAACATTGATTGAGCTGCTCGGTTTGACCATCAGTCTGAGGATGGTAAGCCAAGCTCATCAGCAACTGAGTGTCTGTTAGTCTGAATAACTCCCTCCATAGCGTGCTGGTAAAGATTGGATCTCTATCTGAAATGATAGCTCTAGGAAGTCCATGCAATTTATAGATGTTATCCAGGAACAACTTTGCAATGTGTAAAGCAGCATATGGATGATGTATAGCAATGAAGTGACCATATTTAGAGAATTTGTCTATGACCACTAATATCGCATTGTATCTGTCAGATGTTGGCAATCCTTCCACAAAGTCTAGGCTTATTACCTCCCATGCTTGTGATGGCACTAGAAGTGGTTCCAGTAGGCCTGGAACCTTGGTGTGTTCCACCTTCGCTTGCTGACATATGTGACACTGCTGAACAAATTGTTGTACTGACTGCTTCAAACCAGGCCAAGCAAATAGAGCTTTAATTCTCTTGTAAGTTGCTGCAATGCCTGAATGACCTCCAATTCCACTAGCATGTAAGGCTTGTAGGATGTGTTGTTGTGCTAACTTATTGTGTCCTACCCAAATCCAGCCCTGGTATCTGATAATACCCTCTGCCAGGGCAAATCCATTAGGATTATTGTCAGACATTGCTAATTCAGCCAGCAGCTTCTTATCTTCTAGATGTTCCTCATAACCTTCTCTGAGCTGTTGTACCCAAGATGGAATGCACTCTGAAACAGCCACTATCTCCTGTCCAGCAGCACATCTGGATAAAGCATCAGCAGTAGCGTTTGTGATCCCTTTCTTATACTGGGTTTGATAATCCAAGTCCATGAGCTTGACCAAAGCCTTATGCTGATTTTTCGAAGTAACCCTTTGCTCTGTCAAGTGCAATAAGCTTTTATGATCAGTTCTGATAAAGAATTTCTTGTATTGCAAATATGGTCTCCATTTGTCTATAGCCATCAAAATGGCTAAGCACTCCTTCTCATATACTGATAGAGCTTGACTTCTAGTACACAGATGTTTGCTCAAGTATGCCACCGGATGATTAGCTTGCATTAACACAGCTCCAATTCCATAGGCACTTGCATCAATTTCTAGTACAAAAGGAATGTCAAAATTAGGCACCGCAAGAACAGGTGCTTGCACCATCTTCTGCTTGAGTAACTGAAATGCCTTTTTAGTCTGTGCTGTCCACTGAAACTGACAGCCTTTCTTCAGCAATTCAGTTAATGGTCTAGCCATCATCCCATAATGTTCTATAAATTTCCTGTAATATCCTGTCAATCCTAGGAACCCCCTTAACTGTTTCACATTCGTTGGAGTCAGCCAACTGACCATACCTTGTACTTTTGTTGAATCAGTTGCCACCCCTTGTGCTGAAATAACATGACCAAGATACTCCACAGCTGGTTGGGCAAATACACACTTAGATCTCTTTATGTAGAATTGGTGCTTCTCTAGAATTGCAAACACCTCAGCCAACAACTTCACATGCTCTTCCAAAGTGGTACTGTAAATGAGTATGTCATCCATGAAAACCAAGACACCTCGACGTAACAATGCTGCAAATATAGTATTCATGAGGCTCGGAAATGTTGCCGGTGCATTCGTCAGGCCAAACGGCATAACCAGAAACTCATAGAGGCCTTGATGTGTTCTAAAAGCAGTCTTGTACTCATCTCCTACTGCCATTCTAATCTGATGATAACCTGCACTGAAATCCAGCTGGGTAAACCATCGAGCCCCACTTAGTTCATCCAACAATTCATCAACCACTGGCATAGGATGCTTGTGCTTCATGATTATAGCATTGAGGTGACGGTAGTCAACACAAAATCTCCATGACCCGTCTTTCTTGCGTACCAACAGTACTGGAGAGGCAAAATCACTGGTGCTTGGCCTGACAACACCCGTTTGCAGCATCTGCTGAACCTGAGTCTCAATCTCATTCTTTTGAATCGGAGAGTAATGATATGGCCTAATCTTGACCAGCTGTGCCTCTGGTAAGAGCTTGATCTTGTGATCAGCTGCTCGTGAAGGAGGTAGCTGAGTTGGTGTACTGAATAAGTGAGCATATTGTTGTAATAGCTGTTGAATCTGTTGTGGCACCTGCGCAGTTTCAGTAGCCTGAATGGAGCTAATAGACTGATAGCTACCCGACACTAGAGGTTCCTGCAGCTTAGAGCTCATCTGCAAGCAGCAGGTCACACCCCCACACTGGATCAGATTAAGTAGCTTCTTGGGTCCAATGGCTGGACACATGTCCACTTTATCCTAAATACCACACAGTGCTACTCTCTTCCCATTCAATGTCACCCTCATGTGCTTTGTCTTGTAATCAACCCAGATGGGACTGACTGCCTCCAACCAGTCCTCACCAAGGATCATATCAAAACACTGCAGGTTCAATACTCTAGCATCTGATTTGAACTTGTGTCCCTGAACACACCATTGCAAGGCTGGCACTCTTTCAGAACACTGCATTTGGCCCCCATCAGCTGCTTTGAAGGTGGCTGGTTGACAGAGTTCAGTGGGTAAGCCCAATGCGCTGACCAACTTGTTACTGACAAAAATTCCCACACTTCCCGAATCAACTAATACCAGGACTTGATGTTTCCCAATTCGAGCAAGCAATTTCAGAGTATTTCTCTTAACAGCCCTCTCAGAGTTCAGCCACTGTAATGCACATACAGATTCTTCAGTTGTTAAGTCTTCAGACTTGACATCTACCGATTTGTCAGATGCAGCCAAATCCAAGGCATCCCACAACTCTTCCAACACATGTAATGGAACATGCTCAGGACAAGAATGAGTAGGACCCCATTTACCTCCACATTTGAAACAGAGACCGTTCTTGCGGCGATATTGCTTGAGCGAAGCCAGCTTATCATCAACATCCATTTTCTGAACTTTGACTACTGACCTTTCCATACCACCCATTCCCACCTTGTCAAGCACCTTATCAGCCCCTTTTGGGAAAGGCCGCCAAAAGGGTTTGTTCCTTGCAGCACTGAGCTCCTCCTCTTGCAATAGTGCCAAGGCACTTGCCATATCCACATCACGTGGTCTGTGCAATGCAATCGACGCTCTGATCTCGTCCTTAAGGCCTGAGAGAAATCTTGTGATAAAATACACATGATCATAAGATGGGTTGTATAGCAGAATACCATGTGCTAGCTTCTCAAACTAAGCCTGATACTCTGCAACCGATCCGGTTTGCCTCAGAGTTTCCAATGCATGTAATTGACGCTGATACTGATCCTTGTCGTATTTGGCGAAGACCAGTTCACAGAGATGATCCCAATCCATGATCCGACCATGTCGTTCAGTAGTCTGCAGCCATGTCGCAGCCGAACCCGTGAAATTGAGAGCTGCAAATCTCGTCCTCATCGCCAGGTGAACTCCATAGACCTCGAAAAAGAGAACACAATGATCACGCCACAATCGTGGCTTGTCCCCATCGAATTTGGGCACCGGAGGGGATCGAATCGACTGCAGATGCTCGAATTCAGGTGATGGAAAGGAGTGAGGGATGAGATCGTTAGGCATACCCATGACCGGGTGTGGCGGCAAGGCGCTCGGGGCCCCGCCGCCAACAACCCGGTGCTCGTGTCGCTGGGCGTGCCCATTGGGCGATTGTGATGTCGAAGCCGATGTCGGGGCCACGTTCAGATCGAACCACCCTGCTGCGTGATGCATCGACGGAGCCGTGAGCGGGTTGGGCACCTGAGACATCGGCAACTGCTGGAGTGGAGGTGGACGCAGCATCTGGATCGGCGGAGGTTGAGGAAGCTGAGCCGACACGGTCGGTGGTTGAGGCGGAGGCAGGGGGGGGGGACGCGCCTCCAACTGCTGCACGCGGGTTGAGGTATCCTTGGACTGCTGAATCATCGACCCCATGTTCGTCTCCGCAATCGTCCGCCATGCCTCCAAGTCGTTGAGCTTGTCGACCGTAGTCGCCATGAGCTGCTGGAATCCCGCGAACTGGTTGGCCATATCCTGGACCCCGACGAGCTGCTGCGCCATGGAATCCATGGCTGACTTGAGGTCCTCAATCGAAGCCGCCATCTCAATCTGGATTTTGGTGGGTTTCCGCTTCGGTGCCAGAATGGAATGGATCGATTGAGGAAAAAAAATTCCCTCAAATCGACAGGCTCTCAATACCAATTGTAATTACCTGGATGAGTGGAAGGAAGATTGGGACCAACCGATGAGCTTTATTGCGAACTGAAAAACTCTATTTGCTTACAAGAGCGGATGACCGCTGAAGAATGATTACTACTTCTATGAATGTAGCAGCTAAAGGGTTACAGTTTTCTCTCCCCTTTTCCTCCTAACATCCGGCGGCGTATATAACCAGCAGCCGTAGCTGTGAAGTAAGCTTCCCAACTCCATACCAACCGTTGTTGACGGCCACGCCACCGTCACATGAAGTACCTGCATCGTGGGTCCACCTGTCGGTCATTACATACTTCACAAGTGATGCTACGCTAGTACTGATGCGATTGACTGATGCTTCGGATGCTTGGGTTCATGGTTGTCTGCACATTGTCGCACCTGCTCTGCTTGCTTTGGTCACCGAAACTTCACCTCATAACCGAAATAAGCGTCACGCGTCGAAGAATGAAGATTAGTGTCTTGTACATATACGATGATATGCTATCGCTATAATTTTCTGAGTTGTTGAATTTGCGCGTCCGCTTCTCGTTGAGGACAGGAAGATGAGCTCGTTAGATGCCACACGAGCTGAGCTTGGCCTCGTTGTTCTGTACCTGAAAAAGCCGAGGCTCGGGACAAGATCTGCTGGGCGATCCAGTACGGCTCCAAGTTCGTAAGCAACGGGCAGCCTGGCACCGCGCAGGATGTCGATAAATCGACCACCCTGGCTCGCAAAGTTTTCCGGCTCCTCAAGGTCAGTCAGATATGATTATCTTCTGTCCGTAACTCCGTATCAGTTCAATTGTTCTCGGTGTACCAGCACGCAGCTGATGCTTGTCTAATTGCTTGCTTGATGTTGCATGTCCAGTGGGTGAATGATCTGCATGCTCTTGTCAGCCCGCCGGCTAAAGGGACTCCTCTCGCCCTCGTCCTGCTTGGCAAGGTAAGTCGTTTATTTACGCGCAGTACTGTTCATGAAGAATTCCTTCGTTTTGGAATGACAGTTCAAATTAACCTTGCGTGTTCTTCTACAATTGCAGCCCAAAAATGCGTTGCTTTCGATGTCCTTGTTCCTGGATCAATTTGTGTGGTTAGGACGAACAGGGATAGTCAAGGTTTGTTCAGATGGAAAGACTTGGTTGCTTGCCTTCATCAACTGCATAGTGTATACATTTTTCCTTTTGATAGATTTGTTCTTGCTTCCGTTGGTAGAACAAGGAGGCGACGGACCGCGTTGGCAGGATATCCCTGTACTGCTGGATGGCGTCTTCTGTCTGTGCAGGTCTAGTTGAGGTATATTATATTACCTATTTACATAGTTTCTTCGCATGCTTATGCTTCAAGTTTTCTACACCCAGTGAAAGTATCGTTCGCTTGGCTAAAAGTACTGTTCACTGATTTGTTGTGAGACAAAACACTGTAGAAATGGCTGATAAGTCGTGCTCAAGCAAGCGACGTCTTGACAGGGCTCGGGAGGCCGTACTGATCGTGGATTATTTATCTGCTGCCTGGTTTGTGTGTCTGCAAATTTACGATCAGCTGTGTCTGCAACTTTTCAGCTTGGAGAGCTTAAAAGGCTATCGAGATCAATGAGCAAGCTTGCAAGAGAGCTGAGGAACACAGATAAATATGAGGTGCATATATACTTTCGTTTCTGCCACTGACTGATCATACATGAGGGCATGGAGTGTATATATGCAGTTAAATTTTCCGCCTGTTTAAGTGTTTATCATGTGGCCATTTTGCAGAATGAGCAGTACCAAAACAAAATGAAGCAGTCAGATGAACGGCTCCTGGCCCTGGTCAAGGCGGCCATGGACGTGGTCGTGGCCATCGGGCTTCTTCAGTTGGCGCCCAAGAAGGTCACTCCAAGGGTGACAGGAGCCTTTGGGTTCATCACCTCGCTCATCTCCTGCTATCAGGTAACTTCTGCCTCTGTGTTGTCGCGGTGCATGTGTTGTTCAGGAATGGAACTGCAACGCTAATGTTTCGTGTGTTCTATCTACAGCAACTTCCTTCCCGCGCTCCTGTGGCCAAAGTCAAAGTTTGAGTAGTGTCGCCGGCCTAGAATAGTAGAATAAATGAGTCAACGCTGGAAATTGGTCTCTACTTCAACAATGGATCGTACTACAATTTTATATGCGAGTATAAGTCGGGCCATTTTTTTTAAAAGAAGAAGACAAAATAGAACACCAGTGATTGCACGTATGGACTTATCAGTGTATCTTCTCTTTTTGCCTAGCACTGGACATGCACGTAATGTTTACGCCCTGTTTGTTTGGGCTGATTTAGCTTATAAGTTATGGTTGAAAGTATTGTTGGCTAGTTTAGTGTGAGAGAAAAATATTGTTCGTTGGCTGATAAGTCATAGCTTATAAGCCAAATACGACCGAGCGAATAGGCTGCTAGTCTTCCAACGTGGATACTAATCCTTACTATGGATATTTCTCGGCTTCTTTTTCTGGGGAAAAAGGCACGAATTTCTCCAACATGTGGTTTGTGATTGGCTACATAATGGTCAACCATTAACCAAAAAACAAAAACGATTTTAAGAGATAACCTCTCTAATTAATAGGGGTGGACACATCTAGAGACCGCCTACATAAATGACCAGCGACCTCTAGTTAAATGACCGCCTTTGAAAATTGGTATTAACAGAGATGGCCATTTGAAAGCTCTAGTATGGTTTTGGTAATTAAAAGCTAACCATGTGGACTAATGCTTTCATTGAGTATGTTAAGCTAGGGTCTACTTGATGTATTTGAGCAAAGCTTGAAGATGATGAAGATGTTGGTCATGACCACAAAGCAAGTGTTCAACCTAAGGAAGAAGCTGTGGAGCTGAGCAAACCCCAAGGCAAATGTATATTGTTAGGGTTTTGTTTTTGCCGGCCAGGGTGTAATAGAGTGCACGATCATGTTTATAATAGATAGCCGTACTATAAAGATGGGAGCTCTATGTGCACTACTTAATCACCACCGGATCCAAAACCCACATCATCGTCAGTTCTGGCCCTCGGCGGTGAAAGTCGTTGGTGATATGAACGGTTATCACCGTCGGTTCACATCACCAACCAACAGTGATGAAGGTTTACATAAATTCAAAAATTGGGCCAAAAAACAGCAAAAGAATCTTTTAATCTTGGGAGCCCCCAACAGTCAGCCACACGATAGCGCGTAACAATCAGAAGTGGCCCCACCAGTCGTGATGATGGACTATCACCAACGGTTCGTTTACCAACCAGCGGTGAAAAGTCATTTCAACATTGGTTTGTAACACGAACTGACGGTGATGAGCATTGTTGATGGTCACTAAACACCATTTTGACCATGAACATTGCACCTAAAGTGAAGATATAATCAACATCATAGTGATGACCTTTGTTTCAATTAACCTAGTTTCACTTGTACTTAGAAAATATTTGAATGCAGGAAAATTTGATCACATTTCATCAAAACAAGCACAAGAGGCAAGTGCGACATGGCAGGGCCACTAGGGGCCACTTGGCGGGGTCGGCCGACCTAGCCCTACCAGCCGCCACGTCAGTGATCCAACCCAACCTAAGGGAATACACTTTGAGCCAATTCCAACTGCCGGTTTGATAGCGGTTTGATCCAAAGGCTTGGCTAGAGCTGCTTCCAAATGATCGAAGGGCCTACCAACCTGGTTTAGACATGTGATCAATTGCCAAACCGACTGGGGAACCAACAGACTCTCTAAGCCCGTTTGCAAATTTACTCGTTGTCCATTCCATAGAGATCGCTGGCTAAATATGGACAGGTAGTCTCGCTCGATATCGGAAAATACCGCACTTTCCGCGCCTCCTTTCCGCACGAGATATCTCCCTTCCCATGCACCTTCTGTTATTCCTGCTTCCACGTACATGTGTTTACTGAGGCTGTTGGAGTACACATATTTTTTTTAGAAAAATTTATTTTAGAAGATGGATAAATTATAGACTTGGGAATCTATTTTTAACTAACCTCTTGGAGTTGCTCTAAGTAGTCGATCGAGTGTCTGAGTATTAGCCGAGTAGCTGAGTGAACTATATTTTCCTAGGTTAAGTGACCGAGTGGCAATTGGCCAGGTAACTGGCTGAGTGGTCAAGTGTTTGATGAGTTCCGGCTGGTCGAGTGTCCGAGTGCATATAGTACCCTTATTCCATTATGTACATGTATATAATTCCAATTTTGTATGCATAATACAATTGGATCGTCAGCTACTATTATGGGATGGTAGTTGCTATAGTTTCAGTCAATATTCCTTTTTCATAAACTTTATGTTTTATCTTTCCAAACAATATAATATAAACTCATATATACATATACAATACATATAATCAATTCGTGCAAGTTACATCTATCTCAAAATTGGTCAAATATATAACATTATTAAAAATGATCATGATGTTAAATTAATGCTCTGATAAATTTCTATTAAATAAATCCAAATAAATTGTAATGGTTTTTAGGAATCCAAAACTAAGGTTGACGAGCCGCCATCAAACGCTGCACATGCTGGCCGATTGTCATGACCGCGGAACTTGCTGATAGGCTGCACCCATGCCCCCGTCAGAGCAACTCAATCACCGTGAAAGTGGGTACATGCTTGAAAATTCTCATCCTTTTTCTTCTTCTTCTTCGGCTTAGCATATTATTGACTGACACCTATTGGTCATTCCACATCACTAAGGCATTCGGAGCACTATAGCCATCCTCATTTTCTGTAGGCAATGTATCGGACAACAAGGTTGCTCCAGATGTGAGATGTTGTTCATCGGAATACCGGGAGAAGATCATGATTTGACTGAAGTAACAAATATTGTTAGTAATCTTATGTTTTTAAGATGTGGTTTGTATATTTTTTTAGCCTTTGATTTTATGCAAGATACGACATCTATTGTAATGATAATTTGGACCGCTTTTTTCATAGATATGTGTGTGCATGCATATCCATTAGTCTACAAAAATAAGCTAGCCTTTTTAGATCCATTTTTGTACAGACTAAATTTACAAACAACCTATACTATTTTCTAGTATAAATGGAAATATATACTTTCAAGAATTCCATAGTCTAATTTCATAATTTTTGTACTTCATTTGGACATTCATTTGTATTTTACAAAACTTCACATTCTCTGGAAAAGAATAAACCTAATAAAATACCGGGAAAATGAAAAAGGCCATTCTAGCCTAACAGGCCCACGTCCTGGCCTAACAGTGGCCCATATATAGAGATGCAGACGGCGCGGGTCACGCCGCGAGCCCGCTGGGCTAGACCACGCCGCGAGCGCGAGCTAGCCCGCAGGACAGCCCGCATATCCGAAACGGGTTTATGCGGCTGATAGACAAAGCCCAACGGCGCCGTTTTAGCCCATCACGAGTGATGCAGCAAAGGGCGCCGCCACCACCGCCGTGGGCGACTGAGCCGCCGCCGTCGCAATCTCCACGCGCGGTTCATCCTCCGCCACCGCCATTGCCACGGGCGTCTCCGCCACCGACGCCACAGCTTCCACGGGCGGCTCATCCCCTTGCCGCGCCCATCGCAACGGGCGGCTTCCCACAGCCCAGATCCCATGGCCCTAGCCCCATCGCCGGCCATGGCAGGGCAGCCGCGGTTCCTGCTTCCTCCTCCTGACGGTTCCTGCCACCCGTCCCACCTCGCCATCGCCGCCGCCGCCGAGGCCTCAGTCGTGGCTGTGCGTGTTCCCTTCCATGCAAGGCAGCAAACAAACGGGATTGCGGCCGCCGCGAGAACGCCGCATGCGTAAGCGGCTGAAAACGGGCCGCCGCAGAAGACCGCCGCAGAACGCCGCATGATGTTGTAAGTTAGCCATTGTGCTTTTCATGATAGGATATCATTTATATATTTTGCCCTATTGTATCGGTCTTGATTCTAGGGCTACTGCATTGTTAATGAAAAGTCTTTGTTTGTCTTACTCTTTGTTATATGGTTTTCTCCACTCAAATATATTCTGCAAAGATCATTGGCTGAGTGGTGAAGTATAATTTCTCTAATTGGATCTATTTAAGTTCCTTGAATGTTCAAACGCTTTCAGGTAGTACATGTACCGGGGCCCATGTCTGACAAAGGGTATCACCGAGGGTTGCAAGTTCCTAGCTGCTGGGATGAACGCCATGGATCTGAGGTGTGGTACCTCAATGCCTTCTGATGTTACGGTCGTAAACCTAAAACACATGGAAAGAATGATCAGTGACTCAGAGGAAATAGCCCAGGTAACTATTGGACCGCAGCAAATTAAGAAACGATAGAGATTTTTTACATGTCTGTTATGTTATCCCTAAGACATTTGTGCTGATTTGTTTATATCACTCAAAGGTGGCTACTGTATCAGATTACTGGCGAAGGGGAATTGGTGAGCTAATTGCAAAGTCTATGGAGAAGGTTGGTAATGAGGGGGTTATCACCATTGTTGTGAGTACTCTAAACAACTTAGCTTGCATATCTAATGCATTATACCAATCTTATGGTCTCCGTTTATCTTTTAATCAGACCTAAAGGTGTCGGGTGAAGTAAGACTGTCACAGTTTTCGATTTGTTCCCCATACTGGCAGTTCTGCTAATATATTTATGTTTTGGGGCTCCAAATTTGATTTTACACACTCCCATATTGCAGTCTTATACCCACCTTAGGTTGTTAATGTGTTCAATTTGTACATATTTGCATTTTCTGTACACCACAAGGGATTGTTATCATCAGATTTTTGTTTTTATAATTAGCTATGCTGGGAGAAGCTTTCAGTGCCATATTTTCTCATCTGGGAATTTGTTTCTAGTAATTTATATTTTGTTTATGATCCATGAATTACCTGATAGGATGGCAATACTCTCCATAATGACCTTGAAGTTGTGGAAGGCATGAAGTTAGACAAATGTTACATCTCTCCATACTTTATTGCCATCCAAAAGTACCAGAAATGTGTAAGTATTTCCTTTGCTTTCTTGTTGCTTTGTTGCACTATCTTTAATTTATTTTGATTATATCTTTATCCAATTTGTTATAGGAACTAAATGATCCCTTGATCAAAGTGGTGGAGTTAGCTAAGAAGGTATTTGTTTGCTCGTTTAGTCTCACAGGCTTATGGCTGAAAATGGTTTCTTGTGACTTCAATTGTAATCTAATGCCCAATCATCTATTTTTCTGCTTTGACAGAATAGAAAACATCTGCTTATTGTTGCGGAAGATGTAGAAAGTGAAGCATTGTATACCTGGATTATTGACAAGCTTTGTGGACGTGTTAAGGTTGGCTTAGCTCTCTTTATGCTTTCTTGCTCGGATTTTTGTACAGATTTATTTAATCAAAAATCAAAAGCAGGTCTGTGCGGTCAAAGCTCCTGAATCTGGGGGGAGCAGGAAAGCCAATTTACAGGACCTTGATGTCCTTACTGGGGGAGAAATAAGTCATAGTGCTATTTCTTTGCCTGTGTCACACTTATGAGATGTTCAAGTCCTCATTCACTTTTATTGTTTTTTTGCATCTCCTTGAACTAGGTTATAACTTTGAGCCTCAGACGCTTGGCACCCGCAAGAAGGTACATATTGTGTATTTTGGTGACTGTAGACTGTAAATTCAATACGACTAAACTGTCAGAAAGTATTAAATAAATACTTGTTTGTTATGTAGTTAGGTTGATTACATGATTGAATATTGTGAGCTATTGATACCTCCAGAAGGCTATCTTGTGTGTTCTGTTTCATGCCTTATGAAACTATTTATTTTCTTACATTCAGTCAAGTGTTTGAATGCAGGTTACAATATCTAAGGATATTACCATCATTCTTGCTGGAGCTGGGGATAAGAAGGCAATTGAAGACAAGGCGGATAAGGTTCGTTCTATCCATTTAGTTTCTATGAGGCAATTTGAACGTTATGTTATTTGTTCGTTGCTATAAAATGCTTCTTTTTAAACAGCTGAGATGATTTTGATATTAATATTAAGATGATCAATTTATTACCTTGGGTTCTTACATAATGTGTAAATTAACTGGCATGTATGTATTATTTAGTTGGTATTTTAGTTTGTTATTACTGTGTTGATAACAGAAGCGGCATGACATTTCAGTATATTGATTTTGGTGATTTTCCTGGCTTGCTAGAGTGAACATTATTTTTTTCAATTTTCCTTTAGATTGATGGCGCAAGTGAGCTTGGTGAGAAGAAGGATGGAGTGACTGACGCACAAAATTCAACCAAAGCTGTGGAGGGTACTGTGCCAGGTACCATGCTTTGTGCTCTGGTTTAAGCATGTATCAGTATATCGAACTGGCAATAGCATGCACTAATATGTCAAAGTTCTTTCACTCAGTTCTGCTTGCCGTCTATGTATTTTGTTCTTTTTGTTTGACTCATGTTTCTTGACAGATTTACACTTTTTCTATCTTTTATTTCTATGAACCGACTTCTAACACACCCTGGTTGTGTAAGTTAGCCATTGTGCTTTTCATGATAGGATGATTTATTTATTTTGCATATTGCATCGGTCTTGATTCTAGGGCTACTATTGTTAAGGAAAAGTCTTACAATCTTGTTATATGGTTTCCTCCATTCAAGTACATTTTGCAAAGATCATTGCTGAGTGGTGAAGTATAATTTCTCTAATTAGTTTCACTTACGTTTACTGAATGTTTGAATGCTTTCAGATACTGCATGTGTCACTTCTCTGACAAAGGTTATATTCATCACCAAGTGTTGCAAATCATTAGCTGCTGGAATGAATGCCATGGATCTGAGACACGGTATGACACCGAGCTCTCTCTGTTGCCCCATGCCGTGAGGCACAAAGGCTATATTCACCACCAAAGGTTGCAAGTTCTTTGCTGCGGGAACAAATGTCATGGATCTGAGATCTGGTATCTCACTGAACTCTCTGCTGCCCCATGCTCGTGGTTACCACACAACGAGTCAGAATCCACATCCACACTTGGTAACTTTTGAGAGTGCAAGCAACTATTTTCTGAGAGGGCCATAACTTGTAGTACATGTTTTTTCTGATTTGACACGTGATCTATACAAGTTGGTTAAATATAATGCAGATAGACCTATTCTTCTGACTGAATCGGGGAAATTGCTTTCTAGATCACTTGTGGAGGGTGTGCTTACTCTTCATGAACACAACCTTTGCCTTAAACACAAGTTAGATTTGGGTAGCTTGTTCGTTTCTTCATTAGGGACTTTCAAACTTTCAAACCTCGAAACCATTCCACTCACCGAAAAAAGTCATTCCGATGATCTGTCTAATGTGAGTAGCATGTTAGAGGACATGATGATATTGGCCCATGGGGATAGAGTTGTGCAATATCTTCCAAATGACTATTCTGATTTGATCAGTGATCTGAAGAACTCAAATACAACAACTAAATTTATCAGATACCAAATGTACTCATCTACCTACAACCATACAACAAGATTTTGAAGCTAAGGTTGTTTTCCTTAACAATGCTTCATATAGCCCTAGAATCAAGACCGATGCAATATGCAAAATAAATAAATCATCCTATCATGAAAAGCAATAATGGCTAACTTACACAACTGTGGTGTGTTAGAAATCATAGAAATAAAAGATAGAAAAAGTGTAAATTTGTCAAGAAACATGAGTCAAAACAAAAAGAACAAAATACATAGATAAGCAAGTGAACTCGAGAGTGAAAGAACTTTGACATATTAGTGCATGCTATTGCTAGTTCGATATACTGATACATGCTTATATAAAAAGATCATATCAGGCATCACACAACAGATTCTATATAAAAAGATAAACATACTAGCATACTAAGATGACAGCTAGCACACACAAACGATACATGTCCATATCCGATACAAATAGAGTAAAATAGTAGCATTATTACACAAAATAGAGTTTTGAGCGATTCTCAAACTTTTCACCTAACGAAGACTAACTCTCATCGAATATGACATGAAGCTCCTACAACAACCACAAGATGTCGAAAAAGTTTTTTTGACCTATCTAATTTTCTCCTCCTTTGGCAACAAGCACCAAAAAGCGAGAAAGGAAGAAAAAGTCAACGAACTCACTCATCCTCGTCCCTCTGGATGTTCTCCTAGTCGATGTCATCACCTCAAGCAGCCTGGCTACTTCCTACAGCTGTCCCTGCATCACCGTCGTCGTCGTCGGAGTCAATACGTACACGGCCCTAACGATGAGTGGTGGCGGTGTAGCGAGTGGAGCGAGTGGAACGCCTCGGCTCCTATCTCTGTCGGTACCCCTCTAGGGTCTCCTCCCAATCTGCTGCTCGTCCTTGCCGCTCCTCCTCATCATCTGAATCTGTGTTAGACAGGCTAGGTAGGTCAAACTGAGGCGGAGGTGGAATAGGAGGAAGTGGTGGAAGGTCCTGTCCACGCTGCTCAAGCTGTGTCTCATACGCTCTGTCAGCTGCATAAGTGCACTTGCCAAAGATCGCCTTCAGCCACTTTCCAAATTTCTTCATCTTTGCCTCCTCTACGAGACCTAGAGCGGGAAGACTCAGGGATATCCACATGAGCATAAGAGCCCCCCGCTTTCTGAGTAGCTACAGCTGGCTGGGTCTTCTCAATCTTGTAGACGGTGTGCATCCCGTCCTTCGAAAAATAAAATCCAGTGACCCTCTCAATCATGAACATGAGGTAAGGGGCATAGGGCAGCCCCCTCCTTCCATCCTCCACTGCAAATCTCAACTTAGTCCACATGAATCTAGGGACATTGAACATGTCCCCACCTGGAGCAAATCTAGCCAACACATTTCTCACATAGCCATTAATATCTGAGGCTGCTCCATCCTTTGGGTTGATGGTGTTCCTGATAAGGTTCTTGAGGATGTAATAGAAGTTGTGTAGACCACTCCTCTTCCCATCTGCAATCCTCCTGTCTCTCCACATGTAACTGATGTCACGGATTTCAGCTCGAGGCTCATCATGAATGTAAGTGTAACCTCTGTGCTCCTCCCTAAAGCCAAGAATTCGGCTGAAAGTGACAAAGTCGACTCGGCAGTGTCGACCATCTATCATCTAGTGAATCTCATCAGAGGTCTGGTCATATAAGTATGTGGCATGAAACTATGCAAGGACCTCCTCATTCCAATCATACTGGAAACTCATGATGTCTGAGAGCTGGAACCTGTCACAAATTTTGATTACCTCGTCAAACTCAGGCTCCTTCTCCTGTATCTCATCCCAATCAATATACTGCATCTTGATGATCTTGGTCTTCTTGGATGCAAGAATGGCAGTGGCATAAAAGTTGGAATGAAACTTATTCTAGAATCTGTAATCAATGCCCAAATCCTTACGCACTGCATAGGAGTTGATCCCTCTTGCCTCTTCCACCAGCTTCCAACTCTTGGAATAGTTGACAACTGTATGCTGGCGGGAGTCATCTAGAGGTCTCATGATGATCTCACCCTCAAAATCTCTCATGTATCTGTCATCAAACTCAAAGAGATGCTATGGGGTGTCAGGAATAGCATCTATAGCAAAACCAAGCATCTCCTGCCTTTCCTCATCCTCAATGTACTGATCGCGCCTCCCCTTATCACCACGACCACGAGGTGCTGCGCCACTGCTACCTGCTGCAGATGATCTCCCTCGACCACGACGGTGGTGATCCTTCTCAACCATCTTCCTCTTTCCTCTGTCTCTGGGCTCCATCTATGTACAAGTATAGGTCCAAATAAGAAACTGTATGGATATGGTATAGGAAAACATATGTAAAACAATCTGGATAACTAAGATGATTCAAATCTCAAGCTAGAAAAACACCCTAAGCCAAACTGGTCAGGGGGTGCGGCACTGCCGCACCTAGTGCTTCACTCTCCCAAGACTCATTTCTTCTCAGATACTTAGATCACATCTCATATATTCTTCTAAGCCACAGGACAATTTCAGAACATAATAGACCTAACTAGATATGGAGTGGACTGCTGGAGAGATAAAGTAACTGCATACTTGAGAGATATAGATCTGGTGCGCAAATCCAACTAAAATGGGGAGTCATTGATGGAATATCATTCAAGGTAGCAAAATCATGCTGCCGAGTGCGGCACTGCCGCACACCTGAGTGGCACTCCATCCATGAATCCATCGTTTTGATTCGATTTGTCCATCAAACCTACATCTATCCAAACCATGCAGCTGCTAGAAACAGTACTCCAACAAGGAATCAATTCCATTGCATAGATCGGGATGGATTAGGGTTATACCTTCGATCTTCGCGGATTGGAGAGGGAAGAAGAGAAGGCAGCTTGGGCAAGGAGCTACAGCCGCTGCTGGCGTCATAGACGATGGCCACCAGCGGGCGCGGCATTGCTGGAGGTGGCAGTGTGCGACCAAGAACGACGGTGTCGGCGCTCGTGCGAGAGGAGAGAAGGGCGCGAGGCTACGACATCAGGGAGAGAATGAGAGAGAGAAGTTACCGTGGGCTAGTGAAAAGATAAGGTAGAAGATAAATGGGCCCTGAAGTAACCACTGTTGGGCCGAATCTCAGTTGAGATTCGAAGTGCGGCACTGCCACACGCAGAGCCCGGCACTGGCGTAGGCTAAGCGTGGCACTGCCGCACTCCTCAAAACAGTGGGAGTTAGTTATAATCTATATGACTCTCTATATAAGATATGGACATATATCACTTATATATCATGACCAGAAACAAATAATCAATACAGACCATGATCATGATACATAAGTTGCCTTTTGTAAATCATTTTGAAGCATAATATGAAATGTTCAAAACGTTTGCCTAGATACTAGTTGATCAATCAGAGGCATGCTAAATTTCAAACTATGTTACGAGAATCAAGTATATTTAGCTCACTACGCAAAGCACAAAACCTTGACTCATCGAGGGGCTTAGTGAAGATATCGGCTAGTTGGTTTTCGGTGATCACATGACGAATTTTGATATCTTCTTTGGCTTCGTGGTCTCTCGGGAAGTGATGTCGGACGTCTATGCGCTTAGTTCTTGAATGGCTTACGGGATTGTTTGTAAGGTTTATGGCACTTTCATTGTCACACAATAATTGGATTTTGGTAAAGCAACATCTGAAATCACGAAGGGTTTGCCTCCTCCAAAGTAGTTGAGCATAATATGCACCGGCTGCAACATACTTGGCCTCAGCGGTGACAAGGGCTACATAATTTTGGTTTTTAGAACTCCAAGACACTAAGGACCGTCCAAGGAATTGACATATCCCCGAAGTGCTTTTTCGATCTACTTTGCAACCGGCGTAATCGAAATCCGAATACCCAAGTAGATCGAACTTATAGCCCTTAGGATACCACAAGTCAAGGTTAGGAGTGTGTACTAAATATCTCAAGATTCTCTTAACGGCCACTAAGTGACACTCTTTCGGCTTACCTTGAAATCTAGCACACATGCACACACTAAGCATAATATCGGGCCTAGATGCACACAAATAAAGTAGAGAGCCGATCATGGTGTGATATACCTTGGTATCGATGGCTTTCCCCTTCTCATTTAGATCAAGATGTCCATTGGTTGTCATGTGAGTATTGATAGGCTTTGCATTCACCATGTCAAACTTCTTGAGCATATCATGGGTGTACTTCGTTTGGCTAATAAAAGTCCCATCCTTCAATTGCTTGATTTGAAATCTGAGGAAGAACTTCAATTCACCCATCATGGATATCTCAAATCTCTTGGTCATGATCCTACTAAATTTCTCACAAAATTCATGATTAGTACTACCAAATATTATGTCATCGACATATATTTGGCACACAAATATATATTTACCAACTTTACGAGTGAAAAGGATAGGATCGGCTTTGCCTTTTTCAAAGCTTTGTTTGAGAAAGAATTTCTTAAGGCATTCATACCATGCTCATGGTGTTTGCTTGGCCTATAGAGCGTCTTTTGTAGTTTGTAGACGTGGTTGGGGAACTTGGGATCTTCAAAACCTGGTGGTTGCTTAACATAGACAAGTTCTTGAATAGGGTCGTTGAAGAATGCACTCTTGACATCCATTTGGTATAGCTTGAAGTCATGATGGGCAGCAAAGGCTAGAAGCATTCAGATTGTTTCAAGTCTTGCCGCTGATGCATATGTTTCTTCAAAGTCCAAGTCCTCTACTTGAGTGAAACCTTGAGCGACCAATCTTGCCTTATTTCTTGTCACCACGTCATTCTCATCTTGCTTGTTGCAGAAGACCCACTTGGTGTCAATGACATTGGTATTGGGTCTTTCCACCAAAGTCTAAACTTGATTTCTCTCGAAGTTGCTCAACTCTTCTTGCATAGTCATCACCCAATCTTTATCCTCAAGTGCCTTCTCAACCTTGACTGGTTCCACAGGAGAAACAAAAGAGTAATATTGATAAAAATTTACTAAATGAGAACGTGTTAATACCCCTTTGAAAGACTCCCAAGGATGTTGTCGGCGGGATGATCTCTTTGAATGGTTTGCT